TAATTATAGCCCTCTGAGCTTGTCCTGTCCATTTTCAACCACTACAGTGCCTGCTCATCCAGCCCATACTTCATCAGTTCCATAAACAGATCCTCCTCCACTGAGGGCAGTTCTTCCTTGCTCCAGACTTTCTCAATGAAATTTGTCTCAGATTTTCTATATTGTCTAAGAGGTAGGAACCTGTATAACCTACTGGGCTGGAGCCTTAAGCCCTGCTGAAGTCCATCCACAAAGTTCATCTGCCATAACATCTGCCATAAACATGCAGTCTCCTATACACGAGTGGCTACTGGTTCTGCTCAAAATGTCAGGAGGAGCAGTGGTGCTTCCCACTTTTTGCTTAATGTGCCAGCATTTAGAAGTTCCATTTTGAGAAGTGAAAGGTGGGAATTAGAGGTTTTACATGTTCTTGAAAGCTTCACTTTTTAGAATACCCTAAAAATGAGGCTGTAGGTTTGGCTGGAATGTGACCCTCCTGTGTCCTTTCTGTGCATGTAACATGTACATATATGGAGAAATAAACCAGAGGAAGCTTAACTGTAATGCTCTGTTGATCATCCTTGCCTACTGGAAGAGCAAGGGGGATCCCAGATTCTTACCCCTAGAAGATGCTTATTTTGTACTAAGGACCCACAAAATTAGTTGCATTAATAGGACTTAGAGAAAGGATGGTGCTTCCTGAAAGTGTGTTTTCTTCCTATCTGATTTTGCTCTGAAGTTTTACTGAAGACATTCAATGAATAATTAAATGCATTGAAGATTTCTGCATATCCTATTATTATTATTTTTTAATTTGGCAGGCACAGTGATGCTTACTTGCTGAATCCAGCTAATGAAATGTGCAAGAACCAGTACTTTTTGACTCACTGGGGTGACAAACTTGATGTTGCAGACTGTGTCAACAGATGTGCTCTTTTCTCTGAATTAGCAGTAGAGTGATTCCTGTATTGCAGTCTAAGAGGGTATGGCATTACTTTACCCAGCAAGAAATTATTTCTGAATGCTTCTAGTTACCGACTGGATTATGCTGGACTATTCAAGGAAGGTGAGATGCATTATGGTTCCATCCTTGTGCCTTTGCTCAGGATTTGAAATTAGTTATGTGCTCTACCAGCGGGCAGTGGCAGGTAGTGAAACATTGCTGGCTGCATCCTCAAAAGCTGTGGAAACGTCTGTTTTCAATGTTCAGTGGGAAATTCAGGGAAGGAGCATGGCCCTGAAATTCAGATCCTCTGCGGCAGTCATTGGAGCAAGGATGCTGCTGGTTTTGGATGAGGCTAGAAAGAGCAAAGGAAACATTTCTTAGTTAAGGAGAATGTGATAACTAGTTTCATTTCTCCACTGAAAAAAATGCGTGAAGTTGGTAGCTGGGGGCTCCTTGAGGTCTTAAATAGTAATTAAAAATTCTTCCTGTGTTTTCCTTTCAACAACTTAAGTATATCAGCATTGTCTAGTAGATTTTCAAGCCCTTAATCAAACAAAAGCCCAAATTTTAAGTTTTTTGAAGTAACTCCACAAAATTGTCTTACTCCACTTGGCAAGAATTTGTTTTCTGTCAAAAATCAGGTTATCTTCCCTGCTCCCTTGTGAATGATGAGCCTGGCAAAAAACAAGGGACGAGCATGGTTGCCCTGAGAAAATAGCCGATGTGTCTAGCAGAGGATGTCTGTGAGCTTGTAATTAACTGGTCCAAAGGGAAGAAGTATGGGGAAAGTACAGAGCTTAGCAGTAAAAATACACCAATGCTCTCTGTGTACTATAACCACAAATAAACAGTAGCTCAGACTCTAACAGGCTTTTTACAGTTCTTTGTCAGTGTCCTGAGATAACCCCAGTCTTCAGCTCCGGCTTTTGCCAGACCTTTGCCTCGTGTCTTACAGCAAGAGAGGAGATCTTTGTGGTGGATTTATTGTACGTAGACGAAGTCACAGATGATTTCTGTTGTTCTTTTGGGAAAACAGCACATCACTCTCAGGAATGTTTTATTGCTGTGGTCTCAAGTTTAGGAGGCATTTGTATAGTTAAAGAGAACAGTTCAATATTCATGTATTGCTCAAGCTACTGTTGAACTTGCTCTTTATGAAAGGCCCACAAAGGCCTATGATAGGTAAGCTGGTGGTTTGCGTTGATTAGCCTGTAAGCTGGGCTTTGTGACTCCAAGGAATTTGTCTTTTTTTTCCCCCCTCTGGTGATTTGTGAATTCTGGCAATGTGATTTAATCCTTTCCTTCTTTCTGTGTTTTCATTCTACAAAACCGTCTTATTGTACCAGCTGGCATTTAAGATGGTGTCTTATGAATGCATCCCTGCTGGGTCTCCCAGCCTTCTTGGGAGCTCGTCAGCTTACAGCTCTCAGAAAGGTGCTGCCTCTTCCATTGGCAGTCTGGGCTTCTAAGTGCCTGTGTGCTAATACATGCAGTGTGGGGAATAAACTCAAGGAATTAGGGAACTCTGAGCAGTTGTGGGGCTGTGGTCTTGTTGAGATCATGCAGAGACTGGAGTGCTGCAATGGCTAGATATAAACTCTTCAGGTTTTTTGGACCAGATGGACCTCCAGAGATCCCTCCCAACCTCACTGTTCTGTGATACGCATGTTCCTGACTTCCCAGAGGTTATGCTTCAAAGTTACAAGTGCTTTATTACAGTAGCATATAGAGAGAATAAGCATTTAGCTTTCACTCACACAGCTAGACTCTTTAGTGCAGTTGATAATGCTCTCCTCCTAGGATGCTCTGTCATGGTAAAGCTTCTTCGAAAGAGTAAGGTGAAAAAAAGACCAAACAAACCAAATGGCAACTGTACAAACTACCAAACCTAGATCTGGATTTCTGAGATTCGTGTTTTCCTTAACATGTTTCTTGAATGAGGGGAAGTGAAAGAAATAGTTCCTGAAGCTTGCGCTGAGCCAAAGATTTCTAGGTGGAAATGTAAATCCGCTGAAGCTAATAGAGGACAAGAGAGGAAATGAGACGAGACATGTTAGATGTGATGTCAGAATTCATTGTATGTTGAGGTGTCTTCATTGTTTCAAAGGCTTTCTTTTATTTATTTATTTTTTTAGCAAACACTGGAAAATGATCCAGAGTGAACACGGTGAGAAAATGAGTTCAGCTATTTGTGCTTCACTGTAACAAGCGTAGATGGGAATGTAATTTCTTAGTTTAGCTCATATAGAGTGGTGGAAGACTTCAGTACAGTTGTCATGCGCTTCCAGGGGTACACAACTGGTGTAAACCTCACTTCTGCTCCCTCAAGAATTGCTCAGCTGATGGTTTGCTCTGTGGCTTTTGGTAGTAGGAGTTAATTCAGGCATGTTCTGCAATCATTCTCTGGTGGTCAAATTAGGCAAATATTCTGGTTCCTTCTGACAGTTTGATTTATAAAGTTATTGGCTATTGTGAAACTTGCCTACTCCACAAAATGACTGAGAATTTATACTCTAAGTTAAAGGTCCTGTTGTGTGCAATACTTTAAAAAGTAACTTTTTTTTTGTAATATATGATGCCTGTTACATGTGTGTATACTTCTGCACTCACAGCCTCCCACCTACTTTTGTACTGGCTTTCTGTATGCCTATAACTTTATGAATCAATACCACTAAGTGAGTGTATTACCGTAATTCCTAAGGTCAGTGATTATAAAATGAAGAGTATAACTCGTAAGAAGTACTAAATAAATACAAGTAGGGATAACCTGGAAATCTAATGATAAAAGCTTTTGGTTATACTTATGGTGTACAGATCTGCTTTACCTGTATTTTATCCATGTTATCCAACTTATTAGTTATTTGTTGTTTGTAGAGAAATTGTTTCCAAGTAAAACGTCTTTTGTAGAATAGAGGTTAATGTTAGGCTTTAGTTTTACAGTATTTTGGGGCAAATCTCATTTGTTTTGAAAAAGTGTGTCTTTGAAAGTCCATGAGAATGGCAGGAATGATGGATCAAAATCTTTGTCATGTCACTATTTTTCAAGTCTCCTCATATCTGCAGGGATAGGGATGACTTAAGAGCCTTATTTTTTAGGGCTTGTTTGTGGGTGTTTAGTGCTGAAGACCAATATTTATTCAGATTTCAGCCAAATTTAATTTCAAAGGCAAATGAAGCAATTATATTACCTTATGCATATATCAATGAAGACCTTTCTATTTTTCATTTGGATACTCATGCTTTCTGTTCTGTAAAAGAGCTTTGCAACTACTCCAGCTGATTTCAGAGGCTTCTTCATCAGTTCAGTTAATAGTAAGACAACCCATCTGTTTTACAGGAACGACCGGTCCTAAAAATAAGAACTTCTAAAGATCAGTGAGTTATACTATGAAGTTAAAGAAGCTTACTGTAGTACTCAACCCAGAGTCAGCACCTCTGGCACCGCACCTCTCTGCAGTGCTGCTTTAGGAAGTCACTCCTTAACTGATGAACATGTTAATAAAACATTTGATTTCTCTGGTAATCACATGTTTGTGCAGTGAAGAAGTTAATAATTTCTCTGTAGGCTCATTGGACTTAAATTTCTGTGATGTATTTCTAGCATGAGGGAAAGTGCTTTCCTGGTTACGAAGGTAGAGATTAAGAAGCAGTTTTATTCATGAATGGTTTAAGAAATATTTTTGTCCAGATGTTTTGTGTGAAGACATTGAATTCGGCACTTCTGACAAATCCTGCTTCTCCAGAAGGGAGCTGTGGAGCTCCTATTGGATGGGAGCAGCTCAGGGTTTTTATTCAGTGAAGGATGTGATTGTTTAAAGAGATGCTGCATTCCACAAGCAGTTCTGAAGACCACAACAAAGGCTGTGTCCAGTGGTCTAAGTATCTTTTTCATTTGTTTTCAATAATTGTGTCCTCAAGTTGATTTTGCTTTCCTGGCTGTTCTGATCAAAGCGTTTTTGTGATAAACTGACTACTTTACATTTTGGCTTGTCTGCCAATCCAAATAACAAGAGAGACCATTGCTTATAACTGTGTAATTTTTTTATTTTAATATTCTTCTTCTCTCTTCCAACAGGCCATGTGTAGAGAAGAGGAAAAAATGAAATACCTATTCTTAATATTTTTCATGAACTTATTGCCACAATATGCTGGCAAGTCTTTGAGCAGAGATGGCAATTACCCAAAAACATTTGAAGACATTAGAAATGAGATAGCTGGCTATTATGATATTGCCAAAGCTATAATTGACCTTGCTGTTTATGGAAAAGCTCAGAACAGATCTTATGAAAGATTGGCTGTTTTTGTTGATACCATAGGACCTAGACTAAGTGGTTCAAAAAATCTAGAGGCAGCCATCAAGTATATGTACAGTGCCCTGCAGAAAGACGGGCTGGAGAATGTGCACCTGGAGCCTGTGAAAGTACCTCACTGGGAAAGAGGAGAAGAGTTTGCCATGATGCTGGAACCAAGGAATCACAGCATTGCTATTTTGGGACTTGGGAGCAGTGTTGCAACTCCTCCGGAAGGTAATACTTATGTTTTAATGCCAAACTGTATCATACCTCTAACAGTATTTTCTCTCAGTGGACAAAGTAAAGTTTAATTCCTGCTAGCATGGTTCTGCAGGACACAGTGCTAATTTACCAGTACTTCTATGCCTGACATGGTTGTGGTGCAGTCTGATGGTTCAGTTTGTTTGAATGGAGCTGTAAAATTCCAGTTGATTCCAGACCCTCCTTTAAATCCGTGCTTTGACTTGAAAACTCGTTTGCAAACATTCTGCTCCTCTGCTCAGGATAGTGGGCAATTTGGTCCTGTGATATGGGCTTATCTGGCTGTTCCTTTTTTACTGGGCAAGGAGACTTGGGGGAGTTGAAGGGGGGGGCAGAGAAAACCCTTCTAGGTGGGGTGCTGAGCTGACATGTGATTTCTGCTCTTCTTGCCATGTTCTGCCCTGCCAAGCTCAGTACTCCACTCTGGGGGAAAAAAATATAAATAAATAGATGTCAAAAAGAGGAGTAGAATCTTGTGCAGAGCTTGCAAAGTGCCAGCCCCTTGCTAAGCATGGCAATTGGTGTCTATTTGCCCTTCCTTCTCCTCGCTTCCTTCTCCTCCTTTCTACTTGCTGTCTCAGGTTTGCGTGGATAAGTTTTTGGCACCTGCTGCTGAAAAGTTTGCTGCCTTTGGTAGATCATACATGATGTGCTACTTCAGGAACAAGAATGATCTTTAGAGCTCAGCAAAAGACAGTCTTTTTCAGCTCCCAGAAATCATCTTGCTTGCTAATGAACTGGTTTGTAAGACTGTCTTTTTGTACATGTAAGTGTGGGGCTTTCTCAGGATTGCTGTGTAGAACCTTCTTCTGTCTGGTATAAATAATAGTAGACTTACTCCTAGACAGCTTCAAATGCTATCATGTTCCTTTATAAGGAAAGAAATTTAGGACGTAGAAGACAACATTCTATCATACTTTTCTTACAAATTGTACATTTTTTCTGATAGTGAGCTTTTTGATTGAAATGAAACAAATTCTAGGCTTTTTTGTTTAGAAAAAATGCATAGTCCTACAAAATATGACAAAATAAAATGGTGACACATAAGATATGCTTGGAATAAATCTTACTTGCTTTGAGAAACTGCTGCTGTAAGTTTTGTTGGTGGTATTTCTGCCTTACTCAAGTAAATTGCCTAAAATGCAATAGAACTGAAACCATTAATAATCTCTGTTTGAAGCTTAGTGCTTTGGTAGAATATTTAGTTGAAGGAGGGAAGATTTAGGTTGGATGTTAGGGGGAAGTTCTTTACAAGGAGAGTGGTTAGGCCCTGGAACGGGCTGCCCAGGGAGGTTGTGGATGCCCCGTCCTTGGACGTGTTCAAGGCCAGGTTGGACGGGGTCCTGGGCAACCTGATCTGAATGTGTACGTTTGGTGGCCCTGCTGGGCAGGGGAGTTGGAACTACATGATCCTTGAGGTCCCTTCCAACCTGGGTGATTCTGTGATTCTGTGATCTGTGATTTACAGCAAAGGTTAAACCTGCAACTTACTTTATATCCATTGCACTCCTATTCCAGGCTTCCTAAAACATAAGCTAAAATTAAAGTGGTGCTTTGGTGTTAGGCAAGTGTTACTGAACCTGTAAACACAACTGGCAGTTTAATCTTGGACATTTTCACATTCTGGGAAGTCTCCTTGCTGCTGCCTTTCCTCAGTTGTGCGCTCACCAGCACTCACCTGGGTTTGCCTTTTGTTTATTTGTTTTTTTAATCAACGCTCACAGTGGCTAACTGGATCCTTCTTTCTTTGTCTTTAAGCATCTTATTGTACTGATGATTGAAGATTGTTTTCAGTGCTGGTTTCTACTGTCAGATGCTAGAAATGCAGCATCATCTTTCTTCCTTACCTTTTTTCTTTCCTTCAAGATTGGCCGTGTTTCTGAAGAGGTGTACATACTGGTGTGAGAAAGCTGGATGGTAATCAGCTCTCTTCTGAAGAGCAGACAGCTTCTTACACGTGGTGGAATCCTCCTGAGGAAATTACTTAGTTTTCACTTAAAACCTACCCTATTGTTTGTGGCTCTTTAGACTTCTTCTACCCTCATCTCGCTGTGTGGGAGCTGTGGCAGGTTGCCATGCCCACAGCTCACCAGCCCCCTGTAAGCCCTTGGCTCCTGCTATGAGGGCTGAGTGGCCGCAAACTGACAAGGAAGCCAAGGGAAGCCCCCAGTCTCTGGGTGCTTGGAGGTGTGCTGCTCAGTAGGCCCTAAAGCGCACCTCATCTTGAACATGGCATGAAAATCATATGTTTAAGCTTTTTAAAGCCACTGCTTCATTGCTTCTGAGGAATTTATTCCCAGATTCTTCTGCTTTAACCAGCCATTGTCATTCTACCCTTTTCTTGAGAAACAGGGATAGAAGGCTGACATACAGTGCATTTAAAATATTTGAACCATTTCCCTCAGTCAGGGAATATCTGATTTCTCTTGTTTTAGCCAAGAAGCTGTGGGAACGTGAGTCATCTTGTAATCAAAATAATGCAACTTGATACAAGATGTTTAATGCTGATTCTGCTGGCATAGCATTGCTGTTGCTGCACAGTGAGGTCGTGCAAATCAGCCATGCTTGGTTGTGCCAGGAGACTGAACATTAGCTGTTAGATGGCTGCTTTTTTGTCTGATCATTACTGCCTACAGTCTCAGAGCTGTGCAGGCGATCCCAAAGGTGCTAGGTGTTAGCTTAGAGGTTGGTGTGTGTTTAAATCACTGTATTCCCACGGGGGTATGTTTCAGACATCTCAGAGCTCAAAATGCTGTCTGTAAAGTCTTGACAGAACCCTTCCTTCTCGGCACTGCTGATCCCTGCTGACACCAAGGACTCTTTCCTTTAGAGTCAGTGTGACGGCAAGAGGGGGTGACCCCACCTGTGCAAAGGTAGGCACAAGAGGCTGTTTCTTTTGCATCCTCTCAGCCATTTTCTGTATTCCTCCTGTTCCTTTATGTGCCACCAGTCATGAGAGTGGATGAGCTAAGAAAGTAGAAAACACTGGCAGAAGATTTAAAAGCTGATCCTCTTCATGTGTGTTGAGTGTTTCATACTGCACTCTCCACATTCCATGTGTGCCTATGAAGTTCTTCCTGGAGCTCTGCTTCCAGAGCTGTCTGAAGGGCTCTTTATTGAGATGGCAGTACTGTAACAGTGGTTAGAAACCTGGCTTCGGATGTTGGAAAGAGAGGGTTTGTTTTCCCTTCTGTGTATGGAAATTTAAACCTATCTTTCCTAAGAGTGACCAAATAGGCAGAACATGCTAAGTTTGCTCACTTTCCATTTCAGCGTATGCTGCAAATGCGTGGAAAAAAATCCACAACACTTGGAGAAAGAATCAGGAAGCTCTCAGTAGTAGTAGTATTTTTGCCTTGGACATTGAGCCAGTGTTGACTCCTGGTTAAAAGGGGTGCTTCACTTCCTGCTGGTGTTCTACCTAACTCATGCCTTTGGGACTGAAAACCGTATGGGACATGGACAGAACTTTGTCCATGTCTTGGATTTGCCTGGATTTACCCACTTTGGCCCAGATATGAGTTTGGCTCAGAGCTGCTTGTCTCACTGGAGGCTGAGACAGTTCTGATGTGCAGGATGCTTCTTAGTACCTTGCAATCTCATGGATAAAGTCCATGTTTCTATATCTTCTTTTTCAGGACTAGGCAATGTGCCAAGATGTCAAATTCCGAGATTCAGTCTGATTTGCACAACAAAAAGGGCACGGTGGGAAAGATTATAATTTTATCTAAGAAAAAAAAAAGCTCTATTCACTTTTAATGTATCCCAGGATTTGAAGGTGTTGGGTCAAAGAGAAAGTTTTTTTCTTCCTTTGGTCTTGTTACAGTGAGGAAGGAACTTTCATGCTTGTCGTAGTGTTGGGGAGAAGAGAAACATGAAATGCAGAGTGACCTGGATTTCTAGAAGTCAGCAGAGACTGAAAATGGTTACCACCTCAAAGAAATGTATTCCCAAGTTACAAACAGAATTAAATGTTAGAAAGTGCTCAGTTTAGGGGGCTGAGAAACCAGAGATTTACCATACTTAGTCAATGTCCTTGTATTGTTTCCAGTGTTTCAGCATTGGCAAAACATACAGATATATATAGAGAGGTTGTGTTGATTTCTGGTAGTGCTGATTATATCCCCAAAAATCTGAGCACAACAAATATAATTGGTGCTTTGAGTATCCTATAATTGAGGAAAAATAGTAGTTTAGCAGATGTTTGACCATAAAGTATCAAAGAAATCTTTTTTTTTTTCCATGTTTTTCAAAATGCACTTTGTTTTTCCTGATAGTTGTTTGATCCTGACATTTCATTTTAAAGAACTACCAACAAGGAGAATAAACTCCAGAATGCGTCCTGTCCTAAATGCCTCTCCTAGAAAGGAACGTCCTCTGGTTTCTCTGTACTGTTTGTAGCAGTGAGACTGAAATTAGGTGAATGTAAAAATGATACATTGGCAGACTTTTTTCTTAGTTTGTTTGTTAGAGTTGTGGGATTTTTGACTATCAACAACATTTGGTCCAGTCTTGTTCTTACAGAAGGTAATGGGAGTTTTGCCACTTATATAACAAGAATTTAATTCCAGACTGTTACTTATAAAATAGGAATGATAATGTGTCATGAAGCTGTTGAAAGAGTGGATCGTTGCTGTAGGCTCAGTCTTTTTAAGCCAGGGATGCTGCTGAAAGTAGTGATCTGGCCTTGGTTTTGTCTGATGTATCTTCCCCCAATGCTGACCTTGTTTCAGTTCTCAGCAGTGAAATGAATTAGGAAATTCAACTGGATTAACAGGAGGCCAGCAAAAAAGGCAATTCTGATGTGTAACAGAGGAATTACCCCTGAGTTGCCAGAATCTTAGGTGACCACTGGTCTCCAAGGAGGAGAAAGGGACTCGGGTACCTGTCATGATCAAGGGTTCACTGATGTGGATGGAGAAAATCTGAAGCTTGAGAGAAAAGTGCAAGACAAAGCACTGCTTCCACCTTCA